ATGCTGATAGTCCACGGCAAATTCTCCAATCCATGTCACCGTCTAGGTCATTTCCCAGTCGCGTGTTTTAAGGATATAGGTGTGTGAACTGCAGAGGACCAGCCGCACTTTGGCTGTACAGAAAAGTGAAGGTGTGTTGTTGGAAGGCACTGAGATACTGCCGTCCAAAACATTTGAGAACTGTGTTCTAAAATACTCCCAGCTCTCCTTGACTCTCCCCTCCAACTTATAACCTTCTATCTGCTCTGAGTTCCTTGTGCAGCTCCACATCAGTAGCTCGGCACCTCTGCCTCACTCTGGTTATTTGATCCGCCAGCTACATTTGATCTTCCTGACGTTTAACCTTAAATCACTTTCACAAACTTTTTGGCTAGATACATCTGACTTTTTCTAGTCCCGACAGGTGCTGGTGGGATGGAAACTCTTTGGGTACAGTTCCTGATGCCTGAGCACAAGCCACAGGGACCAGGCTGTCACTTCTTTGGGGAAGCCAGATTTCAGTAAGAAAACAAAACTGGTCTGAGGTCTCCACTGGGCTGGAGAGCAGAAAGTTCATAGTGTTCCCAGAGAAAGGGAGCAGAGAGTATGGGGGTTACAGGAATGCAACTCTCTGTGTCCATGCCTGTCTAGGAGTGTACCCCCAGAATCTGACTGCCATGACACCAGCTACACACACACGCACACATCACACCATATGCATACACACATGCACCACACACACACACACACACACACACACACACACACACACATCACCACCACCACCACCACATGCATGGACACACACATACACACATGCACTCTCAAGCACCTGACCTTCTCCACCCAGAACACTACTATGGGGAATCACTCGTGACAAGTTTCCACGGTTGTGACCCATGACCAGGACACCAGCTGTTCTAGTTTACTCTGTTGTGGTGATAAATACCAGGATCAAAAACAATTTAGGGAGGAAAAGGTTACCTCTTACCTTACGGAGATAAGTCAGGGAAGGAACTCAAGCAGGAGCAGAAGCGAGGACCATGGAGGACGTTACTCACTGACTTGCTCCCATTCATGATCAGCTAGCTTTCTAGCCCAACCTGGCCCTAGAGATGGCACTGTCCACTGAGCACGGTGCCCTGCTATGTCAATTGGCAGTCAAGAAAAAGCCACCACTGGCATGCTCCTTGGCCAGCTTGATGGAGTCAGTTTCTCAGCTGAGGTTCCCTCTGCCCAAGTATGCCAAGTTGACAGCAAAGATTAGCCATCGCACCATCCCTCCAGTGGAAGTGCCTGAATTCTTCCATCCCGGGCCATGCTTGAGCCTTCAGCTTGCTGTGCACGGGGAGTCCCATACACTCTGACCATCTCTCTAGCCCTGACTACAGAGATGAGAAGTAGGTTCTTCATGGAGCCTCCGAGCAGGGTGAAACTGGCTATTTGCCAGCTTCAGAAGGCAGAGCCCCGCTCACAACCGCTGGTCTCCAGGGCACCTTCCCCACACCGCAAGCTGGCACGCAGAAGGGGTGACTTAAAGTGGCTATCAAGAGGAGCCGACATAGGCGGAATTTGGACCATGGTATCAGATGCAGCTCTCGCTGAACTATGAAAGGATACAGATCATACAGTCGGTGAGGTAGGGGAAAGAGGGCGCAGGGCGGGAGAAGCAGGCTCCATCCTTCACATTTTGGGGGGGGGATGGGACAGAGAAAGCAAGGGGTCTTGTGAATCTGTGCCCCGTATTCTCTGAGTTCAGCCTCTTGCCTTGACGCCTTAGATCCTCCACTGCCACACGGGAGCCGCAGTTCTCAACCTGTGGGTGGCAACCCCTTTAGGGATCAAGCAACCCTTTCACGGGGATCACCTAAGACCATTGGGAAACACAGATATATACATTACGATTCATAACAGTAGCAAAATTACAGTTATGAAGTAGCGATGAAAGAATTTTATGCTCAGGGGTCACCTCAACATGCGAAGCTGTATTAAAGGGTTGCAGCATTAGGAAGATTGAGAACCACTGCTCTAGAGACTCTGATCTCCTGCTGTCCCCTCTTGGTGGTTCAGGGCGGCTGTGAGTTCCAAGGTCCCCCTACTTGTGGGTTTAGGTCCTCCGCCTTGGCTGTCCCTGTCCACTCTTCTGGCCTACTCCAAGCTGTGTCCCTGTCCCGACTCAGCCCTGATGTGGAAGTCCCAGGATGGGGGAAGCTGCCCAGAGGCTGTCAGGCTGGGTGCTATTGTCCAGATCTCGGCTGCCACTTATCTGGGCCGCCCACATGGGGAAATGAGATAGTCCAACATCACTTTTCCCATTAATATTCTTATCGCCACTGGAAAGGATGCTCTTTGTGTGTTGTGACATGTGGGTGTGAGCTTACAAACCCCCGGGTCTCTCTCTCCATCCTCTGACTTCTGACCATATGGGTGGGTATCTGAGACACTATGGAACTTGGACACGGAGTGTGAACATATGAAGTATGTCTGTGTGATGCATTGCAGAGAAGTAGATGGGAAGGAGGGAGGTGAAGGTAGATGGATGGCGGGGAGGGGGGGCAGACATGCTTGAGTCCATGTGTCTGGACCACACTAAAGAAAGAAAAGAGCAATCGGAGGGTGAATCTTTTAAAAGAGCTAACTAATTCTGGTTGAGAGTTTGAAAAGCCGGGTCATTTCATTCATCGGTCATAAAAGTGTGTGTTAGCCTAGTCCTCTTGAAAGGCCAGTCCTAGATACTAAACATAAAAAGGCTAAATGTGTCTTCTCTTCACTGTCTACCCTTCCTGTCTCCCCAAAAGAGAAACCTTTGTGTACACACAAGAGAAGTTTCATTACAGAATTATTCATAGTAGCAAAAGTTACAAACAAGCTAAATGTCACTTGGCAGAGTGATTAAATATACTAGAGTATAGCAAACCAGGTCTGTGTGTCACTGTGTATCAGTCAGAAACAAAAAATGTCTTTATACACAGAGGAAGCTCTCCCAATTTATATGGATTATGCCTATCATTATGGATTATGAATATTGTTATGGATTATGCATATCATTATGGATTGTGCATATCATTGTTGATTATGAATATTGTTATGGATCATGCACATCATTATGAATTATGAATATTGTTATGGATTATGCATATCGTTGTGGATTGTGCATATCATTATGGATTATGAATATCGTTATGGATTATGAGTATCATTATGGATTATGCATATCATTGAGTTTCCATTCTGCTGCTGTGGTAAAACATTTGGATCAAAAGCAACCTGGGGAAAGAAGGAATTTATCTGGCTTATACTTTCAGGTCTCCGGCCGTTGTGGAAGGAAGTTAGGACAGGAACTCAAACAGGAACAGGAAGCAGAAGCCACAAAGGAATGCTACTTACGGATTTATTTGGGCTTCCATTTAGTTAGCTTTCTTATGTAGCCCAGGATGACATGCCCCAAAAAAGGGTGCCACCCACAGTGGGTTGGACTCTCCCACATCAATTAACAATCAATATACTCCCCCACAGCATGTCTGCCCACAGGTCAATCTGAGCTAAACAGTCCATCAGCTGAGTTTCTCCTCTCAGATGACTCTTGCTTGTTTCAAGTTGATAATAAAAGACAACTCTGACACCATACACAGACCCCAAAGTGTCAGGGAGCATGGAGCTCTGGAAGATTCACACAGCAAAATGTCAGGACTGGAATGAAGGCAAAGGAAGTATCTTTTGCATAGACACATGACCTGAGTTGTTCTGTAACGGAAGTAAGTTTCTCTATTACTTGTGGAATTATGAAAAGAAACCACAGTATTGTAACGCACTAGCTTTAGAGTTGATGATTCAAACACAGTTTCTGAGAGGTCTTACTTTCCGTGACAAATATGTTAGAGGTTAACATATTTATTATGTTATTATTAACAAATGTGTTAGAGGTGAGAAAGGAGGTAAGCACGGAGATGAGGCAGTGAAGACTCGGAGTCACGTGTTACCATGTCTACCTAGCTCACATGATAGAGAGGGGTTTACTGAAAAGTAACAGCCCCAGCAGAGTTAAATCCAGAAAAGAGTTGAATTAGGGCTAGCCTTTTTTTTTTTTTTTTTTGTAATTTTCTCTACTCTCTTTACCTGAGGCAGGGTCTCCGTTGAGCCTGAAGCTAGGCCCGTGGCCAGCAAGCTCCAACAACCCTCCCTTCTCTGACCACTGCAACACCGAGGCCACAGATACACGGACATGCCTGACTTTTTAAGTGGGTTCTGGGGATTCGAACTCTGGTCCTCACGCTTTTACAACCATAGCTTTTACCTGTTAGCCATCTCCTCAACTCTAATTTTCCCCCTTTTAAGGCAAAGCAATACTTAAGTTTATGTATATATTACAGTTGTCTGTGAGTTCATCCCTGGATGAACTTCTGAGTTGCTCAAGATCAGCATTTAACATGGGAGACTTTTGTCCCATTTAAAGCCCTAAACAAAGCCTCCCTCAGCAGTGGGTTTTTTCAATCCACTGAACTTTCCACCTTTCAAGGGCCCTAATTTATATGAGCCCTTGGATCCAGCTATCTTCTACAGGCCTCCGAACTCATCACCCCACTATACACACTGTGAGATGCAATATCTTCTGGACAACAGGATCTAATTCCTGGTCAACAGGATCTACTTCCTGGTGCTCAGAACCTGTCCAGCCCAAACTCCAGCCACCGAAACCAGCTCAGACTTAGCACTGTCTTTCAATTCTCTCTCTATGCCTGGAACCTCAGGATTCTCATCTTGCTTTGAAGTCAGCAACTGAAGACTTTTTTTTTAAATCCCAAGATACAACTCAAAGCAATCACTTTTAAACCTGTAGCACAGGCTTTTTATTGTTGTTTTTTGTTTATTTGTTGTTGTTATTGTTTGGGTTTCTGAGACAGTATTTCTCTGTGTAACCTTGGCTGTCCTGGAACTCGCTCTGTAGACCACGCTGGCCTCCAACTCACAACTATCCCTCTGTCTCTGCCTCCCAAGTACTCGGATTAAAGGCATGTTCCACCACCACCCAGCTATACTTTTAAAATGTATAGAAACAACCTAAATGAAATACACATGTAACGTTAATAAAAGTGCAGGGTGTGCCTGGAAATGTTTTTTTCTAAGATATTCGGAACCTGTCCCAGAATGGCTTTGCAAGGTGTCTCTGAACCGAGGCCACACAATGGGAGAGTGAGGTGCGTGACCACGTCTGCAGCTGTAACCTTGACCTAATGTGATCCTCTCGGCAACCTCTTCTGTCTCCTGTGAGTTCTTCTTTGCACGGTCCAGATTCTATGCTGTCCACGTTCTGATGGTTCCTGCCAAATCTTCCCAGGGAAAAGGACTGTGGTTTGCAACGGCAGATAAATGAATCTGTCACATATGTCTTCCTATTGTCACCTATGCTGAAGGACACCATTCTTCTCTAGGCCACACAGGAGTCTGAGGGCTGCTCGGCTACTCAGATCCACTCCAGAAAGCCTGGGAATGACAACCATTGCCGGTAAGCATGAAGTTCTTCTGCTATTAACCGAGTTGCTGCAGGAGACCAGACAGCACATTGTACATTTTTGTGAGTGGTGTTGGCTTTTTGATTTATTTCATTTTTATTTTATGTGTATATGTGAGCATCTCTGTGTATGTATGTGTATCAAGTGTGTACCTCATGCCTTGAGTGGTCAGAAGTTGTCTGATCCCCTGGAACTAGAGTTAAGGACAGTTGTGAGTTATCTATCATGTAAGGTCTGGGACCGGAACCAAGGTCTTCTGCAAGAGTAGAAAGCGCTTTTTAACTGCTGAGTCATCTCTCCAGCCCTCTACGTTGTTGCTATTGGTTACCCTTATATGGAAGTAGGTATACAACATGTGATGACGCAGAATCTCATATAACATAATACAGAGAGTTATGCTATATAATTTGATTACCACTGCTAACATGACAGGCTATTTTAAACACCAGACAAGCACATAAAACCAGGTCCCAATATGAGTACCTGTAAGTTTTCATAGATGTGACTATTTCACCACGCTGGCTTTAGACACCTGCAGAGAAAAAGCAAATCATTACAGTACCGCAGAACCTTTGTCGAAACCTCGATTCCAACCCAGACAGACGAGCCTGCCATCTGGAGGCTGTGTTCATCATTTAAAGTGACGTTGAGAGCTATTTCTGCACATATACTTATAAATAGCAGGCAGAGCCACACAAGCTCACATTTTTCACATAAGTTAGATTGCATTGGAATGGTACAGGCACAGGTGCAGTACCTGAACACTCCAGTAGGGGGCACTAGAGTTTCTATTAGCGAGAAATTTTTAAATTTTTTTATTTATTTATTTTTCGTTAGCAGTTTGCTGGGTTTTGCAGATTGATGGCAACCTGCAGAACATAAGGGCCTCCGTTTTCCGTTCTGGAGTGATTGCCTGGAATCATTTCTTCTGATTCTTTCCCTAGGCAGAAGACTCGGTGGACAGGGAGGCTGAGCAGGTATCAGTGCTGTAGTTCAAGTTGCTCAAGTCAAGGTGTGACCTTGAGGCCCTTCTCCAAGGTCAGGCTGACTTAGGGACAAAGCATCCTCTCACAGTACCTCTGACCCCTGTCACACGATAGTGGTTCCCTCCCGACTGTTCCGAACAGACAAGCGGGAGGTATTTCTGAAAGTCTCTAGTTTGGAATCCAGCCCATGCCCTCTTGATGAGCAGCAAAGGGATAAACACACAAGCCGGAGACTTTGAGGTTCAGTCCCTCTGGGTACATACAGATCTGAGGGTTACGAAGGGAAGGTGTAGTAAGGTGACACATGAAGCCAAAGACTCGGAGAACAGAGACACTGGAACTCTCAGAGCTACGTGGGCTGTGATCAAGTTCAGCTTCTCCTGAAGATTAGCCCCCGCCCCCCCAAGTTCACAGTAGCCAGGACACAGGCATCCATTCCTAGCCCTACCCTTGAAAATAGCCAACTGATAGGGTAAAATGGAGGAAATAAAACAGTCGCTCTGATGACCCTCCAGAACGCCTGGTGGCCATTGTCTACCATTACATAGCCCCCCGGTCCTGGTGTCCGGGCCTGAGGTAGGGGTGTGGACTCACAAGCAGATCCTGGGGTTTCTGGAAATCTCAGGTTCCCAACAGCTATGCCAGAGGTTTAGAGACCTGGCTGTCCCACACTACCTCCTCTCCTGGCCCCTCCCTGACCTGCCCTCTCTCTGGCCTCTGGGCCTGAGAAGGCCTAGAGAGGCCGTGGGAGTTTGGCTACCATTATCTGGCCCTTATCACCAGTAAGTTCAGGCTGACACGGAGCCCTCTTAGTTCAATGACGAGGGGCCCACCCGAGGTCATTCCTGTCTCCAGAGAGCCGGGCCCTATCTCAGCGACCTACGGAAACCTTGGCATGAGCTCATGCTTTCTGACGACAGAGAGGGTCCCTACCCTATCACTGTCCAGACTCCCTTCCCCACCTCGACCCCCCCTCCCCCCGGTGTCTGACATGAGCCTGGTAAAGGGCTCCACCGTTCCTCACTGAAATAGCAACACTGATAACCACAGCAGACAGAAGTACATTGACGAATCTCCATTCAGAAAAGCACTGCTCCCTCCTCCCTCTGCCTTGGTGCAGTCCTCCCTCCTGGGATGGGTGTGAGCACACAGGCTGTGTCCATTCCCTGCATAGTCACATGAAGACTGTACGTCCACAGCCCTGCAGAACCCAGGCTAAAGCACACTTCTTCTCACGCGGGAAAAAAAAAAAGCCCCTGGATGCCAACCCCCCACGCACTAAGGGTGCTGGTAAGATGGATCTTGCCTGGATTGGTGAGGTAAACAGAGCCCCAGAGTGGGAGGTGGTTTGTGGAATATTTGGGGACATCCCCTATGTAAGCACCTCGGCACCCAGAACAACTGTAAAGCCAGTCTCTTCGTGGCGGCTTCATCATTTGGGGTCCAAAGTTATCATTCCTGTGTCAAGCCCATTCGGCTTGAGAACCTACTTACCGAAATTCTTTCAGATCCAAGATGAAAACCGCGTTCCTTCAAAGAGAATTCTGCTCGCGTATGCCTCTCCAGAACTGCCTTAAGCCAAGTTCAAAACCTAAGGCTCCTTGGACTCCCACTCCCGGGAATCTGGCACACACCTGGCTTAACCTGATGGGAGGGTGGAACACTTCGGGACACCTGCAGAGTGTGGGGCAATTTTTCTGTTCAGCTTCTTGACTGATTTGAGCTCTGATTTATTTCTGTCTCCCACTCTCCGTGAGGCTTTCCAAAGAAAAATCCAACTGACTAGGGATGACAAATGTCTCCCAAGCAAAAGAGGCTTCTAAGACTCTTCTGGTATCCCTAGGGACCTGTTGAGACTGGGGTTTGGGCCTAATGTGGTCCTTGTTCATGACTATAATCAAATATTTGAGAGAATGTTCTTAGTCTAAAATTTGTGCTCAACCTCTCCCACAAGGGCCTCCTCTGAGGCTCGGTTAGGGTGGGACCTGCTTCGGGAGTCACCAGCACTGCTGTGTGGGGGGAGGGGCTCCTTTCAGGAGGGTGAAATGAAATGACGGTTTAGCTTCCAGCTGGCCATGGGCCAGTGCCTCTCCTGGGCTTGCCATGTGGTCCTCAAACCTTATCTTGTCAAAACCAGCAAGGGACAGTGTGACAGCAAGACCAAAGTCAGACTCCTGTGGTCTAATCACACAAGTGACATCCCTCTTGGGGCAGTTACTAAATTAACCAGAAGCAAGCTATCGTGGGAATTCACGGGGTGAGAATGCCAGACAACTGGGAACCCTAGAGACACTCGGAAACTGGGGGCACAGCCATCCCCAGAGAGGTTCCCAGGTGTGGACATCCACCTAGACCTGAAGGTGTTCCATGGGACACCTCCCCTCTGCCTAGAGGACACAGCACTTCAAAGCCACGGCTTCGGAGTCGGCCTTTATGCACAAGAGTCTTGACTTTCTTGCTCACCCATCGATTTTCCTTCAGCAAATCGCCTCCCTGAACCTTTGTAATCTGGTCTTTAAGCTAGAATATGAGCAATGCTTGCCCTCCCCCAAAGCTAGCGCACACCGCAGCTTTATGATGTTATAGTATGGGCAGGAATACCTGGCAAAATCCCAGTTACTCCAGCCTCCTGGATGTCCCTTGGCCATCCCGAGTCTTAGTCCCTGCCTCAGGATCCCCATGAACCCCACATCCTCCAGTAACTGTGGGAATAATGTCCAGAACTGGCATACTGGCAAGTTTATGTAACAAAATGTTACAAATGACACATATTGACTGCCACCATTTCTGTGGGTTAGGAATCCAGGAGTAACAAGCTGAATCCTCTACTTGGAGCCTCCTGCAAAGTGACAAACTGTCAGCTGGGGCTGGGGCTCCCCTGAAGATCTGAGAAGGGAGAGAAAGGCTTCTGAGTCACACTGCCTGGCACCAGCTCCACAAGGTCCATCCTGAATGTTTTGGATAACATCACTGAGTGGAGTGTTGAGCATAAATATTCAAGCATCCAAGGCAACATGTATTATATGGCAAATTCACTTTGCTGAGTACCTTCTAAAAATATAAAAGTGTGCGTGTGTGTGTGTGTGTGTGTGTGTGTGTGTGTAATGTTTGCTGGCATTGAACTCAGGGTCCTGCACTGACTGAGCGCACACCATACCACACACCCATATCCCCAGGCTGGGCTTGAATTTGCTGCTTAGTTGGGGATAGCCTATGACTCATTATCCACCTTCCCAGTACTAAAACTACAAGCATCACCACAAACAATTTTGAGAGAAAAAAAAAAAAAAAGATGAACAGGATGCCACCGAGTCTTCTCACCGTATGGCTCCGTTAACAGAAGCCCAGAATGAGCTCATCTGGGTTCTTCAGTTCTAGTTAGCTGTGGACCAAGGCAGGTCAAGTCATTGCTTGCTTAGAGAGCACCTCTTTCCAAGCATGAGCCACCAGGGCACCTACTTTCAATACCATGCAGTCTGGTTATTAGAGTGGCATATGGCACAGGGGACTGAGACAGGTTTGCGTTTGCTGTGGAAGAGAGTCTGCGCCCAGGTGTCCCCCCCGCCACCTTAAGGTGCTGGGCCTGCCCACCTGGATTCTCCTCGCTCAACAGCAATGAACTATGTGACTGGGCCAAGGCTTTCCAACTTCTCCCCATGCAGATTCCTCTGACTCAAAGACAGTCTAGACTCTAGACTGTCCCTAGACACTAGAGTCTCTCGCTGGCCTGAATCCCACATAGGCCTCCTCCCTGCTCTGGTCTCTTCTGGCCCCAGTTCCTCATCTGTGTGTGTAGAGATCAAGAGAGTTTGTGGGTATAAAGACATTTGTTTGCCGCATGCACATAGTCAACAAACATAAGCTATTATTTTGAAATATTTTTCATTTTCATTTTATTTTACACATATGAGTATTTTGCCTGCATGTATATCTTCATGGCAGGGACAAGCCTGGTGCCTATGGAAGCTAGAAGAGGGTCTCAAATTCACTTCAACTGGGGTTACAGAAAGTTGTGAGCCACCATGTGGGTGCTGGGGATCCAACTCAAGCCCTCTGGAACAGCAGCCCGTGCTCTTAACCACTGAGCCATATGGAGTTGCTGGCATCTCGGGTGAAGAGCTTATGACTCTCCTCACTGCCTCCTTCTACAAGGGGACGTCAGGCCTGACATGGAGGGTCTCTTGTGAGGAACTGCAGCCACCTTGATGAAGCCACCCTGATGCCTGTATGTGTCTGGAGTGCAGCATTCCACAACAGACATCCAGCTATGAGTCTGAGGAGCTACTTGGGACTAGCGTTCGTGGACAGATCCCAAAACAAAGGATGGGGTCAGTTGCCCACTCCATCACCTGTCTCAGCCACCCTCGGATGGGACCCTCCTGTGGGGACACTCTCGTAAAGGTGCTTCCACAGCAGGAGGCTTTAGCCTCTGAGCTACAAGAAGTCCCAGGCAGCACCTGATCCAAACCTCTCCTTCGGCAAGAGTGTCCGCCCAGCACAACGGAAGGAGGAGCGAGTTACTTCCAGTCACATAGAAGCCACACACAATGTTTGAGGGAGCGGGTTGACACACAACCCCATGCCTACATTAGAGGAGTCTATGTAGAGAGGGAAGGCGCCCAGGGAGGGTGTGACAGAGCCCTGGCTAAGGACCAATGAGCCTGGCCCACCCTGACCTAGAGTTTGATATGACCACCTTAGCTAGGCCAAGTCAGGTGTCTGACCCTGTTCCTTCACGTCTGGTAGACATTCCCTTTCCCTGCCTCCCCTACCTACTGGTCAGCCAACTGGTAGTCCTAATAGGTGGCAAATTTGAAAGTGTGCTTCCTAAAGCATCTCCAAACTTGGATTAAGTCTCCCGCTCCCCTGCCTGTCTCTGGCCTCTCCCTGCCCAGCAAAGCAGAGGGCTAAGACCGTCCTTGGTTCTCAGAGTCTATCTAGGAAATGCTGCTCAAATCTAAATCCTGTCCCCATGTCACCTCGGTGATTGTCCTTCCCCATGTAGGAAAGCGTCCCCTCTACTACTGGACGCCTACTAGAGTATACTAAATTTCCAGAGCTTCTGTTTCACAAGTTTCTCATCCATCTGTTGTCAGCCACCTGCTATGCAGGCCATCCTGTGCTGGGCTCTTGGCCTATGCCACCAAGGGAGGGAAGCCGGCTCGTGAGCCAGGAGTGCCCAGGGCAACATAACTCAAAACAAAGAAATGGGAGGTCTGGAGAAATTGGGTCAGGGTGCCCTGTGAACCTCGCTGCAGGCTTCCCAGAGAAGGAGACACCTAGGCTGAGGTCCGAACATACACAGGGGATGGTGTGGCTGCAGAGGGAAGGGTGGGGATGAGAGTCGAGCTGTCTGTGCAAGGGGCAGGCAGGAAAGAGCAGAGCCGTCTCCGTAGTTATGACGGAGGAGTGGTTAGTATTGATTGTCACAGATTCACTGAGGCGACAAACCTCTGGACATGTCTGTGAGGGGGTTTCTAGACTGGGTTAACTGAAGTGGGGAGCAGCACCATTCAATGGGTCGGGATCCCAGCTGTGTAAAAGAGCCAAAGCGTTGAGGTGAACGTTCACATTCAGTACCCCCTGCTGTCTGGCTGTGTGAAGCCCCCACGTGCCTTAGCTCCTGCTCCGTGCCTTCTCCACCATTACAGACAATTAATTGCAGGCTAACACAGGGGCCACAGCAACACCGGCATCCAGATGTGCTCAGAGCAGCAGCCCAGAACCCCCTCTGCTCTGAGTCAGAGTTCCTTTCCAGAGGGTTCTTTCTTCTTATCTCTGTAAACCCCACCTTCCCCTCAGCTGACCTGGGAATCCTTCTTCCTCGGGTTTGAGCTCACTGCCTCTCCAGTCCCATCCCCACAGGCAGTTAGCTGTCTGGGCTCAGCGTCTGCTGCCGCATCCGTACTGGTGCCTCTGAGGAACTCCCAGGCCAGGGTTAATGGACATGCAGGCAGCCTCCTGGGAAGACTGTGGGGTGACGGCCGGTGCAGAAGGAGACGGGGTGATGAAAACAGGAAGGTAAAGGTGATAAGGGGGGAGGCTTGGGGATCCTATTTTTAAAAACAGTGAGGTTTGGGGAAGTCCTAGGTTCCTGGTCAGCTGGCTCAGAGCAGAGCTGTCCCGAAAAGGCCGTCACTCACAGAATCACAGAGGAGGATGTGTCCGTGTGCTGCTCTGATTCCTCCAAGAGGCTGGTCCTTCACTCATGCAGTAAGGCCTTTATCAAGGGGCTGTCTCTACATGTTTTGTACCCATGCAAGTCTGGCCTGTCCCTGAACATTCCAGGTGCGCTGTTGCAGTCTTTGCATTCGGTTTTGTTCCTCTGCCTGGAGTTACGCTTCTGCGTTCCTCTCCACTCTTCACGCCACCTTCCCACCCATGCTTTACACATTGTGCTATTTAGAATTGTAGCTCACCCCACATCACCAGCTTTCAAAGTTCCCTAACTTCCTCTACCCGCCCTGTGAGCTTAGAGCCGAGTAAAACTTGCTGGCCTCAAAAAAAGAGCCTGTTGCACAACCCCATGCAGAAGAGGATGTTGCACTGTGTTTACCGGCACGTTCTTGGGTTATTTACGCTCATAACAGAATCTGGCAGACAGCCGGGGATCAACAAATACTCAAAGAAGGGATAATGAACTTGGTAGTTTCCAGGTCCCAGGGGAGAGGCAGATGTTTGTGCTTAAGCAAGCTCTGTTGTTCTAGAGAGCTCTGGCAGGAAGGTCATAAGGCGAGTAAGGCAAAACTCCTTCTGAATGGGCAAAGCCCGTCAAGGACGCCCAGAGCTCTGCTCCCCGGAAGATGATGAGGATGGCGCGCTGGTGTTTTGCAGCCCCATGCACAATGCTCACGTCAGCATATATGCATAGCCACTGTGTGTGGTGACCCAGCTTCAGCCAGGCTCCTCGGCCCTCCTGCTCAGTCCGTCTCAGCTTTGCC